CCACCCTTCCTGCTCTCGTGAACCATCACACATAATCTTTTATTTTAACTTTTAAGGATTTTAAAGTTGGAAATCTGCTCGGTAAGGGATCATTTGCTGGTGTCTACAGAGCTGAATCCATTCATGCTGGTTTGGAAGTTGCGATCAAAATGGTAAGAATACATTCGGTTCTCCTGTGCTTTACAAGTGACAAAAGATGTGTGCGATCTGAAATGTCAGAAACTTCTTACCTGTCAGCCTTTTCTTTGATTATAATGTTAAAATCATTGTTTGAGCAAAACAGAATAGAGCCTCGTCCAGCAGTTGAGTTGAAGCATAGTTTTGGAGAGCCTTGACCATGGTTAATGTCCTAGTATTTCATCTTTAGTAATGTCCAGATGATGATGTGTGCGAGAGTGTCAGAAACTGACCCATAGCTGACTCTTCAGTGGGGTTTTCAGAGGCAGTAAATAGCAGGAGAGGAGATTGCCTATCCTCCCACAGAGCATCTGGTGTATTCAGACCACCTATTTTTGGGATTTCAACACAGCTTCTTACAAGTAGGCCACCAGGACTCCCACCAGAGTTCCCTAAGGGGACACTACATGGTTTAAAATAAGAAAAGTTGTGTGTCAGTCTTGTATCCTTTCTCCAAACCAATTTAATCTGTATGCTGCTAAGAGTTATTCAAGAAGCTGGTCACTGAAGAAGAATGTGACATCAGGATTGGAGGAAGACTCATTAATATCCTTCGGTATGCAGATGATACAACCTTGCTGAAAGTGAGGAGGACTTGAAGCAGTTGCTACAGAAGATGCAACTCAATGTCAGGAAACTCACCATTGGATCAATAGGCGGCAATATGATAGAGAAAAGATTAAAACTGTGAAAGTCTTCATCTTACTTGGATCCATAATCAATCTTAATCACAGCAGGTAGGAAATCAGGAGATGGGAGGTATTCCAGTAGTAAAGTCGGTAGTCAAGACCTTTCCAAATTTTGAAGAACAATGATGTTAGTATGAGGACTAAGTTGTGCCTGACCAGCGATGATCTTTTCAGTCACTGGCTATGCTGCTGAGAGCTGGACATTGGATAAAGATGACAAAAGAAGAATCGATGCCTTTGAACTGTGATGTTGGAAGAGAGTACTTACCCCTTGACTACAGCAATGGCCTTGAGTATATTTTGAGATTTTGAGGTTGGCACAGGATAGGACAGGGTTCAGATCTGTTCATGGGTCACCATGAGTTATACTCAATTTGATGTCACCTAACAACAACAACAACAAAAATGTAAAGAATTGATGCCTTTGAGCTGTGGTGTTGGAGAATAGTAGTAATTAATGAATATCCCATTCATTGCCTAAAGAATAAACAAATATGTCTTGGAAAAAGTCCAGCCAGAGTGCTACTTGGACACAAAAATAACAAAACTCAAAAATTTAGGACATGTTGTTAGGAGTTTATTCCTTAGAGACATCTGCTTGAAAAAATAGATTATCGGTGAAAGAGAGGAAGACTATCAACCAGATGGATTGCCACGGTGACTGCAACAGTGAGCTCAAGTATGCCAGAAATTATGAGGATGGCACAGGATAGAATAGGGTTCAGATCTGTTGTTCATTGAATGCTATGAGTTATATGAGGACACCTAACAATAACAGCAATTTTCAGTAGTCTCGTTATCTGTTGTAATTATTTATACTTGAGATTGAAATTTTAAGTAAAATATTTTCTTTTCCAGGTTGACTTTTAAGAAAAAATTTTATTAACTATTATTTTGAGATACAGAACTCATCAGGACTCTTGTTTTTCTAGGTCAGGCATGCTTTCTGCCTTTGACAGGACATGGTCCACAACACTTTCTATTGTTCATTTAGCAGATTTTACTGCAGTTGATAATTATTTTAAGCTCATTTAATCTGGATGAAAACTTTGTGAAGTAGTATTTCCATTTTACAGTTAAGTGACTGAGACTTAGAAGAAATAAGTAACATGCCTAAGAACACTTATTTATTATCTGGTTCTTTAACCTGGGTACCTCTGATAATAAAATCCATGTTTTGTTGCTGTTAAATTCTGAAACTTGCTATGAGTTATCTCCATTGATGCTACATTGATAAATATTTTATAGCACTAAATATTCTGGAGATATTAAAAAGAAAAAATGAACAGCAAGGAAGAGTGAAAGAAATAAAAAACTCAAGGAAGCAGTCCCCAACACTGATGTCCCCATAAATCATAGCATCCTGTAGCAAGTAACACAAAAAACTAATTGTGCCAAGCTACTGACCACTCTGACCCAGAGTGGATAGAATGGGGGGGGGGGACAAAACAGGACAAAATTCATTCATAGGATCACACAATTTGATGGATGGAAGGAGGTAGAGGTGAAAGAAATGGGAAAGATCTGGTGTGAAAAACAATGTATACAAATTTTGTAAAAAAAACCCAGTATAAAATAAGGGGGGGAAAAGATCAGATTTACTGGACTAAAAGATATTGGAGTAACTCCCGACATAATTAACCTAAAATACCCTTTTAATCTAGAACTAGAACTGCTTCCTGAGGTCATCTTTCAACCAAATTATAGATTGACCTGTAAAGGAAAACGTAACACCTAAAAGCAAAGTACTTTAGAATAATCAAGCAGCCAAAACCAAAGGGCAGCATTTACCCAAAAAAGATGAGAAGGCAAGAAAGTTACAAGGAAACTACTAGAGAGATGAAAATGAAGCAGAGGGGGCAAATGGAGAGAATATCAGCATCACAGTATAGTTTATGTATGAATTGTTGAATGGAACACTAATTGGCTGTGAAATCTTTTACCTGAAAAAACACTTCAGAAAATAAAAAACTCCTTTATAGAACCCTTGAACTCCAAGAAAGTTCTTGGGCATAACAAAGGGTAGGAAAAGGAGGAGGGCATTAATAAAGGACTTATTCAGGTATGACCCTAGAGTTTCCACCTTCTCTTCAGCCAATGTTTTCTTTATTTCTTTTTACTTACTGGACTTTTAGGTAAGATTTTTTAAATAAAAAATTATATATGTGTGTGTGTGTGTGTGTGTGTATAATATACATATAGATAAAATAGATAAAATACATATGACAATTTTGCCATTTTTAGCAATAAATGTAAGGGATGATAGAAGGAGAGATGATGCCTTTGAGCTGTGGTTCTGGAGAAGAGTATTGAATGTACCATGGACTGCTAGGAGAACAAACAAATTCATCCTGGAGAGGGTGAAGCCAGACTGCTCCTTGGAGGCAAGGATTCTAAAGCTTCGTCTGACGTAGTTGGGACATGTTGCAAGGAGGGACCAGTCCTTGGAGAGGGATGTCATTCTTCGGAGGATGGAGGGATAGTGCAGGAGAGGAAGAGCTTTGATGAGATGGACTGATTTAGTCACTGGAGTAATGGGGACAGGTGTGTGTCAGAGACAATAAGATTAGCAAAGTATAGAGCAGAATTTAGGGCTGTTGTACATAAGGTTGCTATGAGTCGCAGGCAACTTGATGGCACATAATAACAATTAGAGAGCATTAAGTATATTGCAGTGTTCTACAATCATTAGCACTGTTTATTTTCAAAAATTTTTTATCAGTGCAAGTTGAAACCCTTTCCCTACAATCCATATTAACTAACTACTGATGACTCTGCATGTTTCATATTGGTGGAATCTTAAAATATTTGTTGTTTTTGTGCTTAGTTAAGATGTTTTTCAAGATTCTTCATGTTATAGGATGTATCAGAACTTCATTTCTCTTTGTAATTAAATCATATTTTGTATATATACATATGCACAGGGAGCTCTGATGTGGACAGTATCTAGTTGCGAACCCAAAGGTTAGTGGTTGTAATCTGCTAATCACTCCATTGGAATTAATCTCCTCTTATAAAGTTGTGAGGTCAGAAAACCTTTTAAGGATTGCTATGAATTGGAATTGGTTTGACACTAGTGGGTTGGGGGTATATAAATGTACCACTTTTAAAAATTCATTTATGGTCTTGGACACGTTGGTTCTTTCTACCTTTTGGTTACGAATAATGCTGCAGTGAACATTGATATCCAAGTATTTGCTTTAAAGTCATTCTTTTTCCCAGTATATGCTTTAATAGGAGTGAGTGAAATTTAGGGAGCTCTGGTGGCCTAGTGGCAAAAAGCTGCACTGCAATCCCAGAAGTTCAAATTGACTAGATGCTCTGCTCCTATCTCCTATCTGCTCAGTCTCCTCCTATACCAGTCAGATCTGATTTGACAGTACACACACACACACAAAATAATAAAATTTTAAAAAAAAAGAGTGGAATTTGGTCAGCTGGATGACAATTTTGCTTTTGAAAGTTTATCATTAGCGTCTAAACCCTTACTCTGTTCTTTTCAGATAGATAAGAAAGCCATGTACAAAGCTGGAATGGTACAGAGAGTCCAAAATGAGGTGAAAATACATTGTCAGCTGAAACATCCTTCCATCTTGGAGGTAAGATGTACATTTTTTTAGAAGTTGCTGAGGAGACTAAATTTTTCCCTTGTAATTTATTATGTACTTCTACATTGCAGCTTTATAACTATTTTGAAGATAGTAATTATGTGTACCTGGTATTAGAAATGTGCCATAATGGAGAAATGAACAGATATCTAAAGAACAGAATGAAACCCTTCTCAGAAAATGAAGGTAGGCATCCTTTTCCCCCCTTATAGTTATATATATGTACTAGAACAGATAGTAAAAAACCAAGTTCTATGTTTTTGTGTAATAATAATTGTCTAAATGTCTAAATGTCCTACAGCTTAGTATTTTTAAAGGAATATAGCTATAGTGTCATCTAGGTAAAAAAAATAGAACACTGCAGTGCCCCAGGAACCTTTCATTTTAAAGAATTTAAATATTCAAAACACTCTGGAAACTTTTTATTAATAGATATTTTATGTTTAAGAGGATCATTTTTGCTGTATGTATGAACATATAGAGGTGCAGCATTGAAAACAGGAAATTATTTTAGAAATTCCCAGAAATGGTGGTAACTTGTTCCAGGCTGATTGCAGGACAAACGAAAAGATGTTGAATTTCTTACTTATTTTGAAAGTAAAAGTGACTTCTCTTGCTGAAGTAATAATATTATGATTGTGGAAAAGAAGGAACCAAGAATATTATTTTGATTTCTAGATTGAGTAACTTAGTGGTTATGGTGCCATTGACTGAACTGGAAAAGTATGGTGTAGTGAGTCTGACATGTTTATGTAAAATAAAATTTGATGTGGCTGAATCAGCTCAATTATATGTCAAGTAGACAGTGACATCTCTGAGTATAAAACTCAAATGGGAAATACAGCCTTCAGATTTAATTTAGAAATAAGCATAAATTATTAAAATTTATATAAAGTATTAGAAGCTAGTATACAAGATAGTGTTTATAACTTGTGGTATAAAGATCACAACTAAAGCACTTATAAATACTATAAGGATAGAAAATTATCATTGTCATTTAATTAAAATTATGACAGAAGCTATTGGCACAGTTAAGAGACCGAAATAGGATGAAAATATTGGCAAAAAGTAACCTGCAAATTATTGTTAGAATCATTGAGAATACATAAAAAGATAATTAGAAAAATGGACAGAACGAATATGAGGATATTGTCTACAGAAAATAAAGTAAAAATGGCCAGTAAACATTAAAAATGTTCAAACTCCATTTCCATAGAAAGCCAACTAAAATAATAGCAACCGTGTATCTTAAAAATAACAGCTTTTTAGAGGATGATTTGGTATGATATGATATTGCTAAATGTTCCTACCTTTCAACCAACTGGTTCTGTTTGTTGGATATATAATAAGGAAGCTCTCCGTGCTAATGTGCAAGAAAATAGGCCTATAGAAGGTAGTTAACTCCTTTGTTTTTGTAATCTGACAATGCCAAAAATGATTCAGATGTTCAGCAGTTAAATAAAATTAAAGTCTGAATGTACTGATGGAGAAATAGCTCCAAGAAATATTGAAATGTATGAAAGTGTAACGAAACTGTTTAATATTTGTTTTATTGCAATAATGTATATAAGCACATAGAAGTATAAAAGGATATATAAGACTGTCAGCAGTGATTACATACTTTTAAGAGGATTGAGAGTTATCAAACTTGCTTTTCCTTACAACTAGATGGTATTTATTAATTGATTATTGAACTGATAATGGGGCTGGTTTTTGGTATTTTTTTCTTTTCATTTTAATACTAGTTTATTTACAGAGTTCTTAAATGTTTTTCACACTAGATCTTTCCCATTTCCTTTACCCTCCGTCCACCCACTAAATTGTGTGACCCTCTCATTAACCACCCACTCCCACTCCTACCCATCCTTACCCCTCTTGCTTCCACCATCCCCCACCCTTGAGTCCTCATACATGTTCTACAACAATGGTCTTACACAGTATTTGTCCTTATGGGACTGAGTTAATTCACTTAGCACAATGCTCTCCAGTCTTTCCCAAGTTAGGTAGTGATTTACAAAATCATTGCTCCTGCGTGTTGTGTAGTATTCCATCGTGTGAATGTATCATAATTTCCCAATCCGTTTGATTGTGGCTGGACATTTGGGCTCTTTACATGTTCTTGTGATGGGGAATAACACTGCTATGAACATAGGCATACAAGTCTCCATTTGTGCCTCAGTTCTCATTCTCTTGGGGTATATTCCAAGGGGTGGAATAGCTGAGTCATATAGAATTTTTATGTTCAGCTTTCTGAAGAAATGCCAAACTGTCTTTGAGAATGGTTGTACCTTTTTACAGTCCCAGATAGTTGGTTTTTTATGCAGATTTTTTTTCTCCCAACACTTTCCTTCATTGACATTATGTTTCATACAATTATTCCCATACATTGTGTTTTATAAATTTAATCTCCATTGGACTACGCCCACCATTACCCTGTCTTTTTCAGGTCCCCACCAGATCTTTCCCATTTCCTTTACCCCCTCCCTCCACTCACCAAATTGTGCAACACTGATTTCCCCTCCACCCATCCTCACCCCTCTGCTCCCACCCCTTTCCACACTTGAATTGCCATACATAGTTTACTAGTTAACCTTCTGTTTTTACATAATGGCCTTTTGCAATATTTGTCCTTATGAGACTGAGTTAGTTCACTCTCAGCATAATGCTCTCAAGTCTCCCAAGTTATGTAGTATTTTTCAAAATCTTGACTCCTGAGTGCTGTGTAGTATTCCACTCTGTTTACCACAATTTCTCAATTTATTCGGTTAGAATTGAACATTTGATCTGTTTCCATGTTCTGGTGAGTAATGCTACTGTGAATAGATTTGCTATGTGCAAATCTCCATTTGTGTTTCAGTTCATGTTTCCTTGGGGTATGTTCATAGTAGTAGAATAGATGGGTCATAGAGAGTTTTTCTCTGTTCAGCTTTTTGAGGAAATGCCAAACTGCCTTCAAGTGCGGTTGTACCATTTTACAATCCCACCAACAATATATGAGGGTTCCCACTTCTCCACATCCTTTCCAATATTTATTGCTTGCTTTCCTGCTGAGCTTTGCCACTGGAGTGAGATGGTATCTCATTGTGATTTTTATTTGCATCTCTCTTATTGCCAGTGATTTTGAACATTTCTTTATGTGTCTGTTGGCCATCTGAATGTCTTCCTCTGAAAAGTCTTTTCATGTCTTTTGCTCATTTTGTGATTGGGTTACTCATCTTTTTCTTGTGGAGACCCTGGTAGCATTCTGTAAACTTTTGTTAAGAGATCCTTGTCAGAGATGTTGTTGCTGTATGTTTTTTCCAAGTCAGTTGGTTTTCTTTTTACCGTACTGGAAAATATTTTTGATGCACACAGATTTAATCTTTCAAAGGTCTCATTTATCAATTTTATCCTCTCCAGATTGTGCATTTCTGGCTGTATTTATCAGCCTCTTTATACCATAGGTTGGTCCTTCTAAGCTTGATTCCATTTTGTCTCCTATAAACTTTATGGGTTGGGGCTCTACTCCCAGGTCTCTGGCTTGATTTTTGCATATGGTGTGAATTATGGATTCTGTTTCATCTTTCAGCAGGTTTCTGTAGTTTTGCTAGCACCACTTGTTGAAGAGGTTGTCATTTCCTTGTTTGATAGCTTTTGTTCCCTTGTCGAGTAACCACTTGCCATAAATAGATGAGTCTATATCTGGGTTCTCATTCTGTGTGCCTATGTGCGTGTTATTGTACCAGTACCATACTGTCTTCTCTTCCTCTTCTGTCTTTGCAATGACCGTTTGTACTCTTCCTGGATGATTCCCTTGATATCCTCCCACATCTCCTCTGGTCTTTGCTCATTAGTGTTCAAGGCCTCAAACCTGTTACTAAGATGGTTCTGAAATTCAGGTGGGATAGATTCAAAGTCATATTTTGGTTCCCGTGGATTTGGTCCAAAGTGGATGTCAGAAGACACTCTAAAAATTGCACTGGAGCGCAGAGAAGCCAAAGCACAAAGAAGACTTCAAGATACTAAAGAATTGAATAGAAGATTTCAAAAGGCAGCACGGGATGACAGAGTAAAATATTGCAATGAAATGTGCAAGGAGTTGGAGTCAGAAAATCAAAAGGGCAGAACTAGCTCAGCATTTGTTAAGCTCAAGGAACTGAAGAACAAATTCAGACCTTGAGTTGCTATAATCAATGATGCTTTAGGCAGAATGTTATATGATCCAGGAAGTGTTAAAAGAAGATGGAAAGAATATACTGAGTCACTGTACGAAAGGAATTGGCAGACACAGAAGAATTTCATGAAACAACATATGAGCAAGAGCCT